GCTTAACACACCCGCTTTAAGGACACTGACTGCTATTCAATCTATAACAGTGAAAAAAAGTTTTTTGTTCTTAAATGCAAGCTATTGTGACACCAGATATGAGTGAGTGGTGGCACTGGGCACCGTATCCACTGTGAGCTTAACACACCTGCTTTAAGGACACTGACTGCTATTCAATCTATAACAGTGAAAAAAGTTTTTTGTTTTTAAATGCAAGCTATTGTGACACCAGATATATGGTGAGTATAGTGGCACACAAGGCACGGCGTAATACACTGTGAGCTTAACACACCTGCTTTAAAAGGACGCGACTGCTATTCAATCTATAACAGTGAAAAAAGTTTTGTTTTTAAATGCAAGCTAGTAGCTGACTCAGTGAGTGGTGGCACTGGGCACCTACGTATCCACTGTGAGCTTACCACACCCGCTTTAAGGACACTGACTGCTATTCAATCTATAACAGTGAAAAAAGTTTTTTGTTTTTAAATGCAAGTTATTGTGACACCAGTGAGTGAGTGGTGGCACTGGGCACAGTATCCACGGTGAGCCTGACACACCCGCTTTAAGGACACTGACTGCTATTCAATCTATAACAGTGAAAAAAGTTTTTTGTTCTTAAATGCAAGCTATTGTGACACCAGATATGAGTGGTGGCACTGACTGGGCAAATGGGCACAGTATCCACTGTGAGCCTGACACAGAAGCTGGCAGCAGTGGCAGACAACTAACTGCTATTCAATCTATAACAGTGAAAAAGTTTTTTGTTTTTAAATGCAAGCTATTGTGACACCAGATATGAGTGGTGGCACTGACTGGGCAAATGGGCACTGTATCCACTGTGAGCCTGACACAGCCGCTTTAAGGACACTGACTGCTATTCAATCTATAACAGTGAAAAAAGTTTTTTGTTTTTAAATGTAAGCTATTGTGACACCAGTGAGTGGTGGGACTGGGCACCGTATCCACTGTTAGCGTAACACACCCGCTTTAAGGACACTGACTGCTATTCAATCTATAACAGTGAAAAAAGTTTTTTGTTTTTAAATGCAAGCTATTGTGACACCAGTGAGTGGTGGCACTGGGCACCGTATCCACTGTGAGCTTAACACACCCACTTTAAGGACACTGACTGCTATTCAATCTATAACAGTGAAAAAAGTGTTTTGTTCTTAAATGCAAGCTATTGTGACACCAGATATGAGTGGTGGCACTGAGTGGGCAAATGGGCATAGTATCCACTGTGAGCCTGACACAGAAGCTGGCAGCAGTGGCAGACAACTGACTGCTATTCGATCTATAACAGTGAAAAAAGTTTTTTGTTTTTAAATGCAAGCTATTGTGACACCAGATATGAGTGGTGGCACTGACTGGGCAAATGGGCACAGTATCCACTGTGAGCCTGACACAGAAGCTGGCAGCAGTGGCAGACAACTAACTGCAATTACATTTGTGGCAAACCTGGCCACTTGGACATTAACTAGAGACTGTGCCTTTAAGGGTTGCCAATAGGTCGGGCGAGATATGCGCTTTACACTTATGTAGATGCTAATGTATGTTCTGTATTGCCTGTACTGCTGTTTCCGCCGAATGCAAATGGCGGTTTTGTATGGGGATTTTCTTTCGTTTCACGAACGGCACTTTAGAAAGCCGTTCGTGAACCGAACGCGATACCCCCTAATAGCCCACACACTTAGAGGCGTGTGGCGCTAGTTAACCGATTGCAACATTGTTGCAATCGGTTATTAGAGGCTCTCCTGGGTGGCCGTCGTTCGACTACCGACCATGCGGCGGTCGGCCATCTTGGATCCCTTGTTCCTCAGCGGGTCCGTGTCGTCGAACGCATAACATTACCAATAGTTATTCGACGGCACGAACACCGCTGAGCCTCCTAGACGTTCGGGAGTTTCAGGACCAGGTTCACCAAAAGCAATCGGTTCCTTTTGTGGGTTTTGAAAGAAATGTGTTTTCTGTGCGGCGTTCGGTTATTTTGGCTGGGATCTGAGCGGCAATCTCACGAATGATGCGCCCAGACCCCAGCTAACTACCGAACGTCCATTCGTGTAAATCCACTGTGTATTTTAAAAGTTATGTATTTTTATATGAATTGCCGGTTCTGCTGCACGAGGGGATAATCCCCTTAACGGTGCATTCTGGGAGGATGATCCCTCTCGTGCAGCAGTGCCTGATGGGAGAAATATGTTATACTGTAAGTCCCCCATGTAGTCCCCTCTGGGAGTGCCCCTGGGAAGGGACTCAGGAAACCCCTTGCATGGGGACTTGTATAAATTGTCGTGCCGATTAAAGGATTGTCAGTTGACTCCCAAAACTGTGTCTCGTCCGGTTATTGGGAGGTTGGGGATATTGCCTTGGTGTTTTCAGCGCTTGACTGTGGATTCGTTTCTGGACCAGCGGAATTCGTGGATTAATATTGGCGTTCCGCTACAATTGGTGGCAAGCGACGGGATCCAACTCTACAGCCGAATACAGCGCATTCGAATGAAAGGAACAACCGAACGGAAAGGCAATTCGTATGAAACAAACAGACGAAAGCGATCAGTGAATGGGGACTGATTACACGGCGTTAAAGAGACAGACGCTAAAGGAGCTGCTGGAGGCTAGAGGGAAAATCACTAGCAACAAATCGAAGGCAGTACTGATTGCAGAGCTAATGGAGGACGACCAAGCACACAGCAGTCCACCCCCACCTGCCAGAGAGGAAACACCATACCAGAGGGAACTGAGAACCCGGCTGGAATTTGTACCACAGCCAGTAACCCTGGACATCTTAACCATGCTAATGGCCGACGTCCAGGACTACATTATGGCACAGCAACCCCAGAGGTCACCATCCAGGGCAGAATCCATCGTTAACTCATTCTGCCCTCCAACAAAGCAGAAAATACCGTACCAGGCATTTAAAGCATTCTGCGAGGAGAAGGATGAGATAGACGGATATCTGCAGGATTTCGAGAGGCTATGCGACCTGCACGATCTGGAACCGACAATGTGGGTACCCTTACTGGCAGGCAAGTTGGCGGGACGAGCAGCAGAGGCGTACCGCGCTGTGCCCAGAGAGGACAGCAAGGACTATTTTAAAGTAAAAAGAGCAATACTGGAAAGATATGCCATAACCCCGGAGGCATACCGACGGAAATTTCGGGGATTGAAAAAGCCCGAAAGAGATTCCCATGCGGAATGGGCGCACAAGCTGGACCAAGCTTCCCAAGGGTGGATTCAGGCGAGTCAAGCCACCACCATGGAGGAACTGCGCCAACTCATCTTGCTGGAGCAATTCTTCAACGGTCTGTCACCAGAGGCACAGGAGTGGGTAAGGGACCGAAAACCTCTCACCCTCACAGCAGCCGCCCGATTGGCAGACGAACACTTTGATGCCCGGAGACACCACGGGCTCACCAACAGGGGTCCCCTAAGACCGCCAATACCACACACCCCAGCCAGCTCCACACCCGCCAACCCTACCCCATTCAGGCCACCACCAGGAAACCCCCCACCGCCAGCCCGCTACAATGGCAGGGCCAACATACAATGCCATACCTGCCGGCAGTGGGGGCATATGTCCCGGGAGTGCACCCAGAATCGTAGCAGGCAGGCGTGGAACCAGGTACGGCAGAATTCCGTCCCCAGGGCGGCGGCCCATTTCTACCACGCAGAACCTGACCACTCGGAGCTGACAAGTATGCCAACCGAGGAACCACTGGGGGTTCTGTACGAGGTGATGTCTGTACAAGCCACGGACAACCGGCAACATCACCGCCAAGTTGTGTTTGTGGGAGGGAAAGAAGTGCAGGGGCTGCGGGACTCAGGAGCCACATTGACCTTAGTGGCCCCCCATTTAATTCCAGATACGGCCCACACTGGCGGATCAGTGGCAGTCCGGGTAGCAGGGGGAGCCATGTACCGGTTACCCACGGCCAAGGTACATTTGAATTGGGGTGCTGGGGAGGGGGTTGTGGAAGTGGCCATAATGAAAAAACTACCGGCCGATGTTGTTTTGGGGAATGACTTGGGCCAGATGACTTCTGCTTTTCTACCCCAGGCCCCGTCACAAGAGGCGCATCCGGTAACCACCCGGCAACAGGCTCGCACCACGGCATTCCCCGCACACTCTGAGGCTCAGGTAAGAAATCATGACCCCCCCTTGACAGACATGACTTGGGACACCCCGTCCACGTTTGAAGTAGAGGTACAGACCGACCCCACACTGCAGGTATACCGGGATAGGGTAGATACGGACCAGGTGGGGCGGGAGGGAGAACAGTACAGGTGGGAGAAGAAGTTACTATACCGGGTGGCGGAAAGGGCAATAGGCAACTCTGTGACGCTCCAAACTAAGCAGCTAGTAGTGCCCCAGAAGTATAGGCAGGAGTTACTAAGAATCGCCCATGATATCCCTCTGTCCGGCCATCTAGGGATGACCCGGACCCGGTATCGCTTAACGCACGCTTTCTTTTGGCCCGGGATTTCTAAAGATGTGAGACAATATTGTACCTCCTGTGATGTGTGCCAGAGGGTAGGCAAGAGGGGGGACCGCCACAAGGCGAAACTGTGTCCCCTACCTATCATTGAAGAACCATTTAGCCGTGTAGCAGTGGATATAGTAGGGCCACTACCAAAACCCAGCCCCGCTGGGAAACGGTATATCCTGACCGTGGTGGATTACGCCACCCGGTACCCCGAGGCGATTGCCCTAACGAATATCCACGCGAGACCGTAGCCGAAGCCTTGATGAAGATATTCTCCCGAGTAGGGTTCCCACAGGAAATGGTCTCCGATAGGGGGACGCAATTCACGGCTGAGGTTACTCAGCAGTTATGGAAGATATGTGGCATTAAGCCGATCATTAACTCCGCCTACCACCCGCAATCCAATGGATTATGTGAGAGATTCAACGGCACCCTAAAACAGATGCTCCGGACATTCGGAGAGACCCATAAGGACTGGGAACGATTTCTTCCCCATCTGTTATTTGCGTACAGAGAGGTGCCCCAAGAGTCCACAGGTTTCTCCCCATTTGAGCTATTATTTGGGAGAAGGGTCCGGGGGCCATTGGATCTCATTAGGGAGCATTGGGAGGGAGAGAGTAGCGCAGATGGGACCCCAATTGTACCCTACGTGCTGGCGTTCCGGGATCGCCTGGAGGAATTGACCCAGGCAGTGCGCACCAACCTCCAGGCCGCCCAACAACGACAACGCCGTTGGTATGACAGGGGGGCCAGAGACCGTAGTTTTCAAGTGGGACAGAAGGTACTAATCCTTAAACCTGTCCGCACCGATAAACTACAGGCCGTCTGGCAGGGCCCATACCAGGTGGTAGAGCAGAGATGCGATACCACCTATGTGATCGGCCCATGCTCAGGAGTAGGGAAGAGACGCATGCTCCATGTGAACATGCTCAAACCCTACCACGAGCGGACGGAGGACGTGGCAGCTATTTGCACGCCCGCCTCCGAAGATCAGGAGAACCTGCCCCTTCCAGATCTGTTAGAGCAGGAGGAGCAGAAGGAACCCTCCCAGGGGGTTCAACTGGGGGAGCGGCTAAGTCCTCAAGAGCGTATCCAGGTACAAGAACTGATAGCAACCAAGGGCGCCGCCTTTTCTAACCTACCTGGGTACACTCCACTAGCCACCCACCGAGTAGAAACCCCGGGACAGCTTCCCATGCGACAGACTCCCTATCGGATTCCCGAATCCGTGCGGGAACATATGAGAAAAGAAATTGAAGAGATGTTGCAGTTGGGGGTTATTGAGCACTCAGATAGCCCCTGGGCATCGCCGGTAGTCCTGGTTCCCAAGAAAGATGGTACCACCCGGTTCTGCGTGGACTACCGGAGGTTGAACGACAAAACTGTGTCGGACGCCTACCCGATGCCTCGGATAGACGAACTGCTGGATAGGATGGCCAGGGGTCAGTATCTCACGACCATAGATTTATGTAAGGGATACTGGCAAATTCCACTAGCCGAGGACGCCATCCCTAAGTCGGCGTTTGTCACCCCGTTTGGCTTGTACCAATTTCGAGTCATGCCATTCGGGATGAAGAACGCCCCCGCGACCTTCCAGCGGATGGTGGATCGGCTACTGGACGGGTTCCAGGACTATGCGTGTGCATATCTGGACGATATTGCCATATACAGTCAGACCTGGTCGGAGCACCTACAACACATAGGGGCCGTAATAGATCGGATCCGAGAGGCAGGGCTTACCTTGAAACCCAGCAAATGCCACATAGGGATGGCAGAGGTCCAGTACTTAGGACACCGGGTTGGTAGCGGGCAGCAGAAGCCTGAGCCCGCAAAGATTGAAGCTGTAGCCCAGTGGCCTACCCCTAGGACCAAAACCCAAGTCCTGGCTTTCCTAGGTACCGCAGGGTACTATAGAAAATTTGTACCCAACTACAGTGCCCTGGCCAAACCCCTGACGGATTTGACGAAGAAAAACCTGCCCCGGCAGGTCGTCTGGGCCCCAGAGTGTGAACAGGCATTCAATCAGCTGAAGACGGCTCTGACCAATGCCCCTGTACTGGCAGCTCCCGATCCAACTAAACGTTTTCTTGTTCACACAGACGCCTCAATGTTTGGATTGGGAGCAGTACTGAGCCAGGTCGGAGCCGATGGCGGAGAACACCCCGTAGCGTACTTGAGTCGGAAATTGTTACCCCGAGAGGTGAGCTACGCCGCCATAGAAAAAGAATGCCTGGCCGTGGTGTGGGCCCTGAAAAAGTTACAGCCATATCTCTATGGGCAACCCTTTTCTTTGCTCACAGATCACAACCCGTTGGTGTGGCTAAACCGTGTGGCTGGAGACAATGCCAGGCTGCTGCGCTGGAGTTTAGCGCTGCAGCCCTTTGACTTTACAATTCACTACCGCCCAGGGAAACAAAACGGTAATGCCGACGGGTTGTCCCGACAAACAGACCTTGAGAAATGATCTGTGAGCGCTCCTCCGGGCATCCCCAAGCCGATCCGTTGGGATCAGACTGTGTATGCCGGCTTGGTTCTGGGGGAGCATTGTGGCAAACCTGGCCACTTGGACATTAACTAGAGACTGTGCCTTTAAGGGTTGCCAATAGGTCGGGCGAGATATGCGCTTTACACTTATGTAGATGCTAATGTATGTTCTGTATTGCCTGTACTGCTGTTTCCGCCGAATGCAAATGGCGGTTTTGTATGGGGATTTTCTTTCGTTTCACGAACGGCACTTTAGAAAGCTGTTCGTGAACCGAACGCGATACCCCCTAATAGCCCACACACTTAGAAGCGTGTGGCGCTAGTTAACCGATTGCAACATTGTTGCAATCGGTTATTAGAGGCTCTCCTGGGTGGCCGTCGTTCGACTACCGACCATGCGGCGGTCGGCCATCTTGGATCCCTTGTTCCTCAGCGGGTCCGTGTCGTCGAACGCATAACATTACCAATAGTTATTCGACGGCACGAACACCGCTGAGCCTCCTAGACGTTCGGGAGTTTCAGGACCAGGTTCACCAAAAGCAATCGGTTCCTGTTGTGGGTTTTGAAAGAAATGTGTTTTCTGTGCGGCGTTCGGTTATTTTGGCTGGGATCTGAGCGGCAATCTCACGAATGAT